CCTACACATCACGTGGCAGGGGTACAAAACAAGACCCTTGCAGTATCCCAAGCCACGCCACACTTGCACGAAACCATAAGGCCATGATTTGGTGCTGTCTGTACAGATAGCCTCGAGTGAGGCTGAACTGCAAATTTTAAAAAACAGAAAAGCAATCAGATAAGGTCTCTTCCCTCACCTGGGAGCAGAGAGAACTGCAGACAGGGAGCATGAAACGATGCAAATATTAAGTACATCAATTTAAAAGGTAGTCAACTCCAGTGCGTATGCAGACCTTATCATGGTGTAACAGATCAGAAGAAATTATCAATGAGGGTGGACTAGAATTCCCCACCCATCTCATCTCTATTCCTCTCCTCCCGCACAGGAGACACAAAGCATTTCACAGCTCTGTTCCCCGCACAGCCCCTGCTGTAGCGGTTGCAACTATTCTGTGAAGCGCTGCCCTTGCCTTTTCCTCCCGCAGCCCATCAACATGCAGCAGCATCCCTTAGCTGGTGTTGGCCATTGCTCTGGTACTGAGAAACCCGTACCGGCAATGTCAAGGACCACTTCCAGGTGGCAGCTGCCTCACCTGCGGCAGGGCCACATCCCTGCTGGACCCTGGCAGCACACTGCCCAAGGCTGGCACTACACGCAAGGGAGCCATAGCTGTAGCCGAGTCCCCCCGCTCTTGTCTTGGCTGAAGGGAAGCAGGCAGGTAATGTCACCTCCTGTTACAGTCCGTGTTTCCTCTGCAAGCCAATTACTGCTAACACATTGCTCGACTCTCCTCTTTTTGGTGGCTGGACTAAGCCAAGGTAACACAATTCTTTCAGGTCAGGGGATGGCAGATCTTATTATTTACCCTTCCCCTTTGGAAAGGTACAAAGGATTCATTTACGCAATAAAAGCAAATACTAGCCATAACACTTGTCCTCATTAACCGGTTGCCACAGCTCCTCTGCCTTCCAGCATACCTCCCAGCCAAGAAACAGCAGCCTTCGCAAGCTATTTCAGCATTGTCTATCATGCAGAGAGGGAGGTAGCACGGGGTTTTGCCCCCTGGCAGAGCAGTGAGGCAGCGCATAGGGATGGGGACTCCACACCCGGATGAGGTGGGGAAACGTGAAAATGCTATCCAGATAACCATTACTCTGTGCTGACCTCTACAGTGGAGTGGGGGCAGGACTGGTGTCCAACCTCATCCAAGTCAGTGGGACAGGGATACAGATTCACTCCCTTGGAAAACAGCCCTGTGTTTAATATTCACTGTGCCATACAGATTCCCTTTCTATCAACCACTAACAGAAAATGACATCTGAAATAATTGCATATTAAATGAATGACTAGCGCAGAGCGCAGCATTCCGATGGGAAGCCAGGTCCATAGTTCAGAGAAACACATTCATTGACGACTGATTAAGGAATCAGGAGCACAAGTAGTGTTCTCTATCCTTACAGTTTCAGGGAATGAAGAGGAAAGATGCAGAAAGAGCCAGCAGATCAATACCTGGCTTCGAGCCTGGTGTCTCCAGCAAGATTTTGGGTTATTTGATCATGGGTCAGTTTACACGTCACTAGGCCTGCTGGCAAGAGATGGGGTACACCTATCTCAAAAGGGGAAAAGGATCCCACCACAGGAGTTAGCAGGGCTCATTGAAAGAGCATTAAACTAGATGGGAAGGGGGAAAGGGGTCAAACCAGGCTTGCTAGAGACAGGCGTGAGGGTGGCACACATTTGAGGAACATGTGAGGGACAGTGTGCGAGTGATGTCGTCTGCCGTCCCGGCGGAGGGGGGGGAGGGGATGGAGAGCAGCACAGCAGAAGAAACGGCCATGGAAGGGA